GATAACTGGCTCAAGATTGATTGATTGATTGGTAATGTACAGGAAAAGAAAGGAAATAAATAACATTAGTGGTCTGAAATCCTTATCAACTTGAGACAGTTTTAAGGCTCTGAAAATTGTGAGTGCTCCAATTTGCGTAAGTTATAAAATTAAGATATTTACAAGACATATACATATTACAAGACATAATCTTTGCACTTTCTTTTGTTTTATATTTGAGGAAATTGTTCAAAATGGTCTTAAAAGGAATATTTCCTATACCCATATAAGTCTAGATATTTATTTTATATTTGTGTTAGTTTTCATGGGCTGAGTTCTACTTTTATGGAAACACATCACATAACTCATGTCCTGCGGGTTTGACACCTTACAAAATAATAATGTCCTTCCATTACAATACCCAAGAATGTGAAGGGGAATCGATACACCCTCTGAAATGCTAACCGAAGATGTAGGTATATATGTCTGATACTGCCTTCTTTATATTGATCTGGTAATGAATTTTAAACAAAGTGTACGACAGTTACTGTTGCTCACGGAAAATTACTGTACATTGTTAGCATGGATTTGTCTCTTTGAGTCATCACAGAATGGTTGATTATCTATCCTCAGGCCAAAGGTTGAATTGCAAACATGGACCTCTCTCTGGTTCAAGCTGAGGTGAAACGAGACACAAGGAGTTTAATAAACATTTATCCCCTGGAGCTAAGCTCTGCTTCCTAGAACTGCTACGTTGGGGTGCGTTCTATTTTTCAAAGTCTTATTTCCATCAAATGAGGTTTTAACATGTCATTTTGAGAAGACAGACCAATGAGAGACATACGTTCTCTGTAAACCTCTAGATAATACAAACTAGGGCCCAGATATATATCTACCACAGAGGCTGAGGGAATGTCAAATTATTATTTTTGAGTCTGCTGGTAAGGCAATGAATGTCATATGTTAGAACTGGGATTTTATAATTTATCAGGCGCCTCGATTTTTAAATAACATGATATCTTTAACAAAAAAATGCAAATTATTATTTTATTTTATTTTTTTGCAGAAAAAAATATATTTTATAGGTAGATTTTACAGGTAAATTAAAGCAAAGATCCATGCAGTTTCACTTAATTCTGGAGACTATTCCACACTCCTTCAAATCATTTTGTAAGAAGGCATTTCCTTATGTAACCCTTAAATTCTCCTTCTTCCAAATTCAGGTTGTGTACACTTGTCCTTACTTCGACATTTTCTTTACATTTTTAAATATGTTGAGATATTTTAAGCCTTTACAGACATTCTCGGGCCTGAGCTATACACATTTATGCTATTCTCACTGGTCAAGCAAGTGTAAATTGGTGACAGGGTAGCCCATGGCCACTAGTAGGGAGCAGTGAAACATTGTCTCATCAAGCTACGGATTGTCAGCAGTATGGAAACATTGTCTCATCAAGCTACGGACTTGGATATAGACTTATAACTTTGACCCAGTGAGATGAACTTACAGCTGGCACACAGCATTGAGATGTCCTCCACAATTGCCCAACTTGGTATCTTGACGTAGCTCAGGCACTTTAAAAGTGTTTTTTATATGTTGAGGAACATAGTCTGGGCTTTTATTACAGGAGAGAAGTATACAATAGTAAATCATTTTTAGTTTATATTATTATAATATGATAATAGTAATGTAATATCAGTGGTGGCTTGACCATAGAGGCACTTAGTTCACAGCCACAGCAGATAACCTTTGTAATAATAGACAAACAATATATATTGATAGTTATAAAAGTGTGAACTACTGACATTGCTTCCTTTGGGGAAGGGGTTAACTTACAAATTTCAATAGTAAATGGTAAATATACACAATAGAGAACAGCAGTATTATAATGCCTCCCCCTCCTTTCACTTCAGCACAAACTGACTCACTGGTAATAAATGTTTGCTGTCTGGTTAAGCTGTCGAGCATGTGTAGAACTTAGGTCACTTGTGAAATCTGTTCAATGAGAGAGCACATCAGACACACTCAGTAAGCCCCTAGAGATGAATTCTGAAATGCCATATTTAATCTCCACTAGCACACCTAGACTGGATGGCCTGTGTATTACAACTCAAAGGTCTTACAGCTACTGCAGAGAAGGTGTTCTAGAGGTTGAGAAATACAAAGGTTCCATTCATATGTAGTGAGTGTTTTTCTGCTTGTTTTGTACACATCAGGTCTGGGAATTGTGATTCAATTGTGATATATTTTTTCCTAATTATTCATTATTTTTACAAGTGTAATGTAGTTATCAAATTTATATTCCAATGCCATATATGTTCAGGGCCGGCCTTAGTCCTTTAAGTGCCCTGTGCGTGAAATGTTCACAGCACATTGTAATAGCTATATGGACAGTGTGTGACATATTTGTGTATTTTAAAAAAAATGCATATATGCCCATGTGTGAATGTAGGTGTTTTTGTGTGAATTCAGGTGTGTGTCACATGCACACAGACCAACAGTCAGACACACAGTTATACACATATACTGTAAAAAGACTCACACATATACATAGGCACTTACACACAGTCACACACACAGCTAGACGAAACCACATAAAGTCACAAGCAGACAGTCAAGCAAACAGTCACAGACAGACAGTCAGACCAACAGTTACAGACAGACAGTCACACACGGTTACAGGCAGTCACACACACAGTTGCAGACAGACAGTCACAGGAAGAGAGTCTCACACACACAATTACAGACAGACTGTCACACACACACACACACACACACACAGTTAGAGGCAGACAGTCTCACACACACATACAGGCAGACTGCAACACATTCACACACAAACAGTTACAGGCAGTCAGTTTCACACACACATACACACACAGTTAGAGACAGTCACACACAGTTATAGGCAGTCACCTACACAGTCATAGGCAGACAGTCACACACACACACACACACACACACACACAGTTAAAGACAGACAGTCACAAAAACACACACAGTCACAGACAGACACTCACAGGCAGACATTCATACACACACACACACACACACACACACACTTACAGGCAGATAGTCACACACACACACTGCTCAATAATTGAGCAGTGGGTTCAGGCCTCATATTACTCAGCCCATTTAACCCTGCCCCACAGTGGTTTGGCTCCGCCCTGTCATGTATATCGCTCTGCCCTATCACTATTATTTGTGGCCTGCCACCTAGTGCCCCTGCTGCCATGGTGCTCTGTGCGGTCGCACAGCTCACACACTACTAAAGCCGGCCCTGTATAAGTTTATAAACTTTATATATATTTAGTGAATGCCCTTGCTGAAACTTAGAAAAACTTCATTAATTTCCCTTACAGAGTTTCTGTGGAATGAACATGCAAGTGGGAATAGGTTTATTTACTTATATATTGGTCCATATAAACTAATATAATTACTGTACGTGACATCTTAAACAATGTGTTTTTACCCGATACAAAAATCAAAGTATATAAAGAGAATGTTATGCTCATATAAGAACTGAACCCCAACTGTCAGTGTAATAAAACTACATTCTTAACCAAAAGGCTATAAGGACATTAACAACAGTGTGTGTGTCTGCTCAATAAATGTAATCCAACAACAGTGTTGTGTACCCTCTAGAAATATGTCACTGTGTGCCTTCTGAAAATGTGTACCACAATCTCAGCAATGTGTGTGCCTACCGAAAATGTGTACCACAATCTCAGCAATGTGTGTGCCTACCGAAAATGTGTACCACAATCCCAGCACTGTGTGCCTACTGAAAATGTGTACCACAATCTCAGCAATGTGTGTGCCTACCGAAAATGTGTACCACAATCTCAGCAATGTGTGTGCCTTCTGAAAATGTGTACCACAATCCCAGCACTGTGTGCCTACTGAAAATGTGTACCACAGTCTCAGCAATGTGTGTGCCTACCGAAAATGTGTACCACAATCCCAGCACTGTGTGTGCCAACTGAAAATGTGTACCACAATCTCAGAACTGTGTGTACCTTCTGAAAATGTATACCACAATCCCCGCACTGTGTGTGCCTACTGAAAATGTATACCACAATCCAAGCACTGTGTGTGCCAACTGAAAATGTGTACCACAATCCCAGCACTGTGTGTGCCAACTGAAAATGTGTACCACAATCTCAGAACTGTGTGTGCCTACTGAAAATGTGTACCACAATCCCAGCACTGTGTGTGCCTTCTGAAAATGTATACCACAATCCCCGCACTGTGTGTGCCTACTGAAAATGTATACCACAATCCAAGCACTGTGTGTGCCTTCTGAAAATATGTACCACAATCCTCACACCTAGTATCAGCTGACAGTGTGCCCCCATTTACAGCACAGTGTCTGTCTGTTGAATAATGCTGCCAGACTCTCCCAGAAGCTGTTCAAATATTATTTTTTCTTCTATCTTCAAGTCTTTTTCTTTTAATTGAAATTCTCTGTGCTGACAATTGTAAGAATTCTAAATTTAACATTAATCTATATTGTATTAATTTCCTTCAAAACAAAATTATACATTTTAACCATTTCAGTGCCAGGGGCATGCCATTCATGTTGCTTTACAACTTGCACTCAATGGTTAAACCAACGATGGATAGAGATATAAATATATATAAGTTGAAATAAATGAATATTTTTTGACAGCTAGTTTAATATTTTGCCTGAGTTCAATGGATCAGGAGGTGAAGAGGTAACATTTGCAGAAACAAAGAGGAGGTGCAGTCAAATTCAGTGGGTAGCCTGAACTGAATATTATAATTATGTTATTATTTTACATTCAAAAAATAAAAAAATGTAGACCTTTATCCATAACAGAAGAAAAAAAAAAAAGAGTTCAATAGTCATATTCTATAAATTCATCTCGTTTTATTATGACATTTAGATTTTTTTTAGATTGACACCCACGAAAAGCAGTAGGCTTACAAGCGTGTTTTAAGTTTATTTATTCTAATTTTACATTGAAAATCAGAAGTTTTATATACAGCAACTGCGACATCTGTACACATAATTTATAAATAAAGCAATACATACAATTTTAAAGCGAAATTCAAATGAGCAACTTCTGCACAAAGTGTCTGGATAGACAAAGTGATTTCTTCTCCACTTACTGGAAAATATATTTATCTACAGAGAGCAAGCTCCATGGGTTTTCCCCTAGATACCCTGGAATCCCAAAACATTCAAGAAACAGTCAATTACTTTTTTCCGCAGAAAGTGCTAATACAGGAATCTAATCTTAAAGACACAATACCATCGACATGTTTTTAATGTTAAGCACAACTCAGTCGTCAAGGCACACCAAGGGTCCATGTTTTGTCGGTATCCCCCCATAATAGAATTGGGACGGTCGGTGTGCTTTAAAGGACTATCGTATCAAAATAGTTTACAACAATATGGTTATCAGATTTATTTAAACTGTAGCTTTCTGACTATTTTCTTCTCTAGAAATTTCTTTATCAACTTGTTTCTGATTTGATTGATACATAAAAAAAGAAAGCCTGTGATTTTGCAAATTTTGAACCAAGACAGCAAAGATGACCACACAGCTAACTAAGAAAAGTTTTCGAACAATTTGATTTACAATTGTGAATTTACCAGTAAGGGTTATTCAACGTATTGTGTTTAGTATGAAATTTATTGTATATTTCGTTTCTTTCATTTTCTCCAATTCAGCTATGTTTTCAGACTGGAAATTGTTATGTAAACATTTTAAATTCACTTCGAAGTCCCGGCAATGCACACCAGTGTGTGAGTATAATCTCCCAGATTTTTTTTTAACCTTGTGTCAAAGTTATGCGGAAGCAAAGTCATAAAAAAAACCAAAACAAAAAGCACAATGTTTGTTTTTATCAGACGGCTAATAGACACAGGTGAAAATACTTGTTACTATATGGTCGTCAAAACAACATCTAAATACTTTTTCAGCAATACAGCAATTAAAGGGTATTTTGCTTTTATGGCAGAAAACCATCTACGTATGTATGGTACTAAATAGAATTATTTCATTCTCGATACAATAAAAGTTGTCTGTATTATTAGACCAGGGATAGCACTTAGATGGAGGCAGAGAATGCCGAATTAAATAGCAAAGTAGGTGATTTTATTTATAACCCAGTTCTGTACCTTTAAAAATGACACTTTACATTTTAAAAGAATATTAAAATGTGCCTTGAGAAAGCTATTGCCTGACTAATAAAAGTTAAATGGGTTCTTTAAGAGTTAAATACTGCCTGTCCTTTGCAACATTGACCTCAATGTTTCCCCCTAAAATATAGTGACCTGATTCATGATTGAGCCAGTGGAGGTTTAGTAATACATTAAAACAAAGTAACCTCTGCCCTTGCTCGCAGCCTCAGGCCATCGCTCCGTGGTATATTACAAGCCAATCAGACAGAGCCGAACCTAACTCAGGTCGAAAGTGACACAATCTGGGAAGCAACACTGACATATAACACACAAAGGACATTTCAACCATTTACCTATATACAAGCGGGGATTTATTTCAGAGAAATGACAGCATTTTTACACTTTGTACATAACCAAGATACATTGCATTTAGTGTTTAAAGGGGCAATTTGTACATGACTGTGATGCAGTTGCATTCAGACTTTAAAGGGGCAATCACCAATGTTTAGCAGTCAGAGTGCATTAATAAACATCTAAAATCTACACATTAGTTGACTAAATTTCTCCTTTAAAAAAAGGGAAATTGAAAATGTACATTGTGGGCCTGTAATGTAGGCAGTGCTGCCCTGGATTATTTTATACAAGAATCACCTATTGAAAGGGTAATCTAGCCACTATAGCCACTACATTTTGATATCAGATATAAAGCACGCTGACTCCATTTCCTACATGGCATTTCCAAAATGATTCTAGATAATTATGGAGGAAGCTGTGCAGAACTGTTCCGTGCCACTGGAGGTCCAGACCACACTCCTATGCCCATCAACGAGATTTAAAAAAAAATTCTAAATTTCCTTTGATCTATCAGTCCGTCCTTGGAGTCTAAGGCTTCCCATGCAAATTTTGAGGTAGTGACTATTCAGATTCCAACATATAGTATGGTGTTGCACACAACTCACAGATATTGATCATGATAACTTAGTTGTAATTCTTGGACTCAGTAGTGAAAGTAATAAATGTAGGAATACATGAAGTAATGTAATTAGGGGACATTAATGATGAAATCGCATGGAGGAGAAGAGGTACCAAGTTGACATACACTATTTTTGATCTTTTAAATGTTTACTAAAACCACCAGATTTGAAACTGAAAGTACATTGTGATATTGTTTAAGTTCTCATGAAAAATTAGAGCTGAGAACAAATGAAATTAACCAGAAGTAAACAGTTTCCAATATACTGGAATTTATCAAAGCCTGGTTTATTCAAGCTAGATATAAATAAATCCCTACATAGAAATGGGAGTATTGTTTATCATTTCATTTTATGAAGGATCACAATCTTGACCATACAGGAGGATATAAAGTTACCATAGCTGGACTATGTGAGGTCCTTTAACTGTTGCGAAACTAGATAAGTCACCGTGCCAAGCCAACAGAATTATGGCCATAGATCGTGCCTGAAAGTCATTAGCTGGGGAATTGCCTAAATTCTGTTGAGCTGTCCAGACAATTCTATTGCTATTCGGTCAATATCTTAATGTGGACTTCCTTTGAGTAATGTGATTGCATGGAAATATCCCGCTAGGTGGTGTTCTATTACTAACAATTCATAAAAAGCATTCATTATGAAACACATGTATTATTTCTGTAATGTAGATGTAGTTTTATCAATACATTTATATTTAATCTTTGTTTGAATACCAACTGATTTGCCGTCTTAAACTAAGGGTGACCTCTTGTAAAAATATACCTTCTGCACTAATTATTTGTATTCTGTGTAGAGTTTTTATTCTTATCTATACTTTGAAAAAATGGGTCAATAGCCAACATCCTCATCACGGAAAAATATTCACACTATTACTGCTTTTACTGCCTAATCAGCCCAAAAATCCACTGACTTTCTAATACAAACATTTAAACGTAGTTCTAGCATGTGAGATTTATGTCATTCGGTGAAGGCAATGTTATCATCTGTTTATGAAACCAGATACATCACAGAGATATTGCGTTATGATTAATTTTCAGAGTTTTATAGATTTTATAAACCAACAGTTCCCAACACAAAGTTCCTGGCACAGATGCCAACCCATGGCAGGAAAGTTGTGGTAACAACACATTCTCTTCATACGTATTGCTATGCCAAGGTGTTATACCGAGACATTAATAAATGAAAGAGAATTCAGACACGATAAACCACTCTGTTTTTATATTATTCTTGTTCTTTCTAAATAATCTCCAGGATATCAGCAATACTAAATGTACGCTTAGAAACACCAAACCAGAAATGCAAAATTATTTTGGCATTTCTTTTTTTCTTTTTTTTTTTTTAAGGTGTAGGCTGGCACATGCTAAATATGTGTGGCATGATTCAAATGGATTGATCAACAAAATGATGTAGCTAATCTTTTACCCCCAAGAGAAGGATTACAATTCCAACAGGACCTAGGCAGGTTACCAGTATGGGCATCCCCCTTCATTCTGCACAAGGAAAGTTTAATGGGGCCAACCAAATGTATGGTTCCAGGGCACCTGTCTAACTCATGGGCCCTACGCGACTGCAGAGGGGCACCTCAAAGGTAATCCTGCTCTGTTTACCCCTTCCCCCGCACTCATACACACTTATTTCTTACAATGGACCTTAGCAGAATGTCCCTGTAGGTTAAATATTGTAAATCAGGCATCACAGATACATCCATCGCAATGTTCTTCAAGATCTGTGTGGTTGTGAAAGATGTTTGCTCACGTGGTCCTCAGGGTGTTTTAGAAAGATAACCTAGCCAACAGATAGATAATATTGTCTACAAGCCCTCTTCTGATCATTGTTTACTCACAGTACAAAGATGTTACAATTTGACAACAATTTAATTAATCTATATCTGTTATTAGAATAAAACCAGTTGATCATTCCTTGACAAACATGACCTATTTATGTTTGGAAGCAATGCGTTCAAGATGCTTGCAACTGTTTTCACTACATGAAAAAGAAATGAATTGAACTGAAACATTTGGTAGCCACTCATCTAAATGTAGCATCTATTGGCCAATGTTTTGAAGTCAGTTAGGAAGAGTGTCAAGTCCCAAGGAAGCAGCATGTTGCTTTGCTCTGAGCCTTAAGTTCTCAATACTAGTTGTTTTGCTGTTAAGGCTTGGGAGGCCTCCTGGTGTTTGGAGGATGGGAGAAGACCACACTTGCTGAGCATGGGACAGTGACTGGTAATAGGACTGACAGTGGAGGGAACTCAGTGGAGCCATACTGACATTCATTCCCAAGTAGGGCACTGCTGGAGGACTAGCCATGTCAAAGGACGAGTAATGGACCAAGTTGTTGGTGGCTGCCATATGCTGGCGGAATTGTTCCTGTAAGCGAAACAGGCTGAGAGGGGAAGATGAATAAGAATGGGTTGGGGTGAGACAACTGCTGGATGAAGGCGTCATTGTGGCACTGACTGGCGATTCTGCAATAAAAATAAATTCAGCGTTTCAGAAAATAATTATTTATAAAATGCTTTTTTTTCAAAATTGTTTAGCAGTAGTACATTACTACAAAGTGGCTAAAAAGACAGTTAATAAAATTTAAAATAAAAATGCGGATTCGGAATTTGTAATATTAGGATTACTGTCAGAATTCATCATTAATGTGATTTCATGTTTAATATTTTACCTTATTTAAATTACCAATAAATTACCCAATCAGGTGAATACCACTTTCAGTCATTTTTAAAAAAATTTTTTTAAAGGTGATTATTGAAACCAATCTTTACAATCCCTTTATTTATTTTTGCAAACAATCAGTTTACAATCAGCTCTCTGTCTTTATGTTATTAATGTCAAATATAGTTCTGGGACACAAATGTGTTAATTGTTGCAAATCTATAGCGAGTTCAAAGTCAACTTCAAATTATACGCAAAAATAGCCGAATTAGATAAATTCTCCAAGTCAACTATATTTTTGGATGGGCTGTTTTGGCTTAAAAAATTAAATTCACTTTGAATTCCCAATAATTCACTCTTCGGTGACTTTATAAATATGTCAGGCACTGTCCTGTTAGATGCTATATTACAAAAGAAATGTAGGTGAAGAACAAGGAATAACGTGCAGACATGGGGTGATTTTAATATGCAGGCATAAAATCCCCCCCATCCCCAAGGTAACAAACTAGTTTATATTATGTGTTCTCCATCTCTGTTGTGTAAAAAGACATATATGATTCAGAAGATTTCATCAGAAGGGGTTTAGACTCACCTGATTTGGGGCTTGCTCTCTTGCAATTTAAAATCTTGGTGTCTGGGGTTTGAATTTTCTCTATCTTGGGTTCTGCATGTGGTGTTTTGGGCTCTTCCTCCTTGTCGGTCTGCTCTTCTCCTGCAGATTCACCTGCAGACTGTTCAGAGAGGGTGAGGTTAAGGTCAGCGCTAGTATCAGTCACTGAGCTGTAAGGTTTCTTGGAGTCATGGCTGGGTGTTGCAGGATCCGCAGGGGCGGAGTCAACCTTGCTCTCACTGTTGCTGCTCACTTCTGAGTCCTTCTGTTTCTGCAACTGCTCTTTCTGAAGACTTCTCTGCTTCTTACGAAACTTGGCTCTTCTGTTCTTAAACCAAACCTATGGAATAGATAAGGCAAAATCTTATTTAAATCGTGTTTTATACTCGTATCTATAATGGTTTGTCATGTTAAGGTAAATCATTTGCACATCACTAATTGTCCGGATATTTGCTTAAATTCTTGCTGCTATTAGTATAAATAATGTTTACATGCATGTATTTACAATGCATTTGATAATTTAGTGGTTGGGTCAAACTTTTTTCTTCCAGCAGATGTAAGTCTGAGGTGGGTTTACCAGATGTCCCCTTCAAATGGTATGTGTATGAAAAAGCTCTCCTCCCTTTTAAACAGAAAATGTAATTATTTTAATCTTTACTTTAAAGAGCAGAGTTTACAAGGAAGGGAGGGTTTTGTAAATCTGAAGTCTAGGGAATAAAGTAGAATTGAGTGAAGGTGGGTTAATAATAGACCTATAATGACCCTTTCTCAAAGCCCAAAAGAGTACAATCTGCAATGCAAAAGGCAAAACTGTAGAGAAGGGCTTGTTCTAGAAAAATTATGAACTAGACAGCAAACATGGAAGAGAATGAAAACAGTTCAGAGCAGAATGCTACAGCAGGAGTAGCCAAAAGGTGGCCCATCAGTAGATCTTGAACTTTAATTATTTGGTAGGGATGTGCACGGGCAAAAAATTTGGTTCGGTTTGGAAATTCAGGTAAGAAAAAAAAATGTGTCTGCTTCGGCAATTCGGACCAAAGGCATTCGGTTTGGTTCGGCACATCAAAATTAGGGACTTTGGCAATTCGGAACTTCAGTAACTCGGACCCTAGCCCCTAAACCCTAACACAATTCGGGACTTTAGCAATTCGGGCCTTTGGCAATTAGGTTCAGTTTGCACTTCAGAAATTCGGCAATTCAGACTTCGGACATTCGTAAGCATCCGAATGTCCGAATTTCACGAAATTTGTCTGAATGTACATTCGGAACAAAACAAATTCCACATGTCTATTATTTGGTATCTATAAGGCTTGAGATTTTGGTAACCCCCACACTAAACAATTTAAGCAATTTATTGGACATTTTACTTGCACAAAAACACTTTTCCTGTTTATTTTCTGTTACTGAAGAAAATAGTGCTATGGGTCTGCAATTACCTGTACTCGAGCTTCTGGGAGGTTGGTGCACATGGCAAGCCTCTCCCTCATCACCACATCAGGATAGTGAGTTTTCTGGAAGGTCTTCTCCAGAGCTTCCAGCTGCTGTGCCGTGAACGCAGTGCGACTCCTTCTCTGTTTGCGGTGCTGGGATCCATAACGGGCTTCTAGGATAATGTCTTGAAATGTACAGCCGTTGGAAGATAAAATAGGGCAAATTTAATTATTGGAAAAGGTATGCATTGCTATGTACACATATATGCATTACCCATTTTTTTTGCTGGGAGATAAAAAACAATGTATCGTCTGTCTGTCATTAACCATTATTCCAAGGTATAAAATATATTTACAACTTTGTTGTATGGTAAGTGCCTGTACACCTAAACATTCTAAATTAGAACCGTGAGTGGGAATGGGAACATCATTTCTCACACGGTTGCAAGGAGATAAAATAGGGCAGAATGGATAAGAGGGCATTAAGAAAAGGAAGATTTGAAGATGGAGAAGAATATAATATATAGCATTAAATGGAGCTAGGATGAAGAATACAGCAAACACATAAAATCCAGATGTTCTTGGGAACCAATATGGCCTAGCACTTTTCCAAACATTTTATTTACCCAATATTTTTTTTACATTTAGAAAGTGCTTGGTCAAGGTGATTGAATTTTAAGGACAGCTAAAGTTTGGGGTTTGTTGTATTAGAAAAAAGATAAACTAACTTCTCTCAGCGTCCTGCACAATGTATTTGAAGCATTTCGCCTGAATAAAATTCCTGTTAAATCAATACAGGAACAAACAGAATCCAAATAAATATAATCTGTAGACTCCACAGGTAAAACTACAGGTGAAAAAGATTTGGAACCGATTTTTTCCGTGATTACCAGAACTTGTCTTTGGACAAATCATTTCAAACTAATTTTTGCACATGTTTAGTGAGCATTCAGTACCTGGACACAGGTATCTACAGTGGTGAATGACCTCAGAACAGAGTCTATACCAAGAAGACCATTTTAGTATAAATGTTTGATTATGACAGTTGAAGAATGCTTGGAGATAAACTGAGGGGTGGTGGGGGGGAGGAATCCAAGCAGGAATAAAAGATAAGAGAAGATCACAGGTAGTGAGGCTATTGGAATTAAAAATAAGGAATCAAAATTGGGAGCCAGTGAGATCACCAAGGTCAACCCATTATTTCATCATTCAAAGGTCAATAATTTAACTACTATTGAGTTGAGTAACAACATACTCCTGCTCATATTTGGAAGCTATCAACGTGAAGTGTAATATTCCTAGTTAAAAACATGTTGATGTTATTTTGTGTATTTAACTATAAAAATAAAGCCATTTTTCAACATTTCAAAATGTGTCCATGCAGTCTAGGACACGTATAACCTTGACACAGTGACTCTTCCAGATATGTCTATAGCTTGACGTTGGTGGCCATTACAAGCGTGTTATGTCTCATGACAGCAACAAGCACAAACTAGAACCTTGAAATTTTTAAAACAAGGACCTATAATGACGTCTGAAAACGGAACTACACAAAAGGAATTCTTCATAAATACATTATAACTCCTTGCATTTATTTTGTAATTCTATATTTAATGGTTTACAAAACTACTGAACATATAAAACTGTCTTGGCAGAATTTTGATCAAATGTTTAAATTAGAAAATAATATAATTTATTTTTTTAAATCTTAGTTACGTTGGACAGAAGTGCAGTTCCCTGTTACCATTTCCAGCAATTCCTGGTTTAGGGAATATCCCTGACTGCAATTCCTTTTGTCCTCAAGCTGTTTGTTACACAAGCATTTAAACGTATCATTCAGGCATTGTTAACACACCAAATAGATTGGCTCATAGTTGTCCTTACCAGCAAGTCTCTCTGCCAGTGTAAGTGCGTGGACAGATGGTCTGTAGTCTGGGGCATGCTGTGCCTGCTGTGCTGCTTGTTGGTGTAGGTTATACATTGCGCTGAGTGAGTTCATGGCATGCAGAGAATAACCATTCATCCCATAGTGCTGCATGATTAGAGATCCCTGAAAAGACATCCCTTTCTATTATTAATCAATACATTTTCCATAGCCGTTAAAACAGTTTGAGAGGAATTACAACATCAACAACAAACACAACAGTGTAGCCAACATGTACTACAGCAAACTATAATGATGCAAGTGATAAACACAAAGGGGTTAATGTACTAAACTGAGAACTTTGGAGAACCAACAAGGGATATGCAACTCCATGTCTGATATTCAAACTAGTTATTTTGCCTAAAATGTGCAGTTCTCCTTGTCAATTCTCCACAATTAGTAGTTTAGGGGAAGAAAAGGTGAACTGTATGGGAAATTTTTTTTTTTTTTTTTTTTTTAAAGGACACCACAATAATTCTAAAAACAAGGTATACAGGAATATAGATTTTGAAATCCATTCAAAGTGCATCATAATGGAACAGGTTTCCTTGCAAGGAATGACTTGAAAATAAGTGTCAGAGAACAGGTAACAAAAATGGAATTTAATATTTTTATAGCAAAAATATTTGTTTTAGCATGGCTAAGTGATGTATGCATGTCACAGGCTGAATGCCCTCCATGCCGCCTCAGAAAGAGAGTGTTTTAACACAGAGTAAAAACAAAAACAAAGTCAAACAAACAAAAAAGTACTAATAGTTGTATCAGTAAAATGCACACACAAAAAAAATCTTCTCCCTGTCTTACTAGTTTCATGATCATGTAGTAATTAGTCACCAGTCAAGTGGGAAAAGCTTTTTTTGCCTCTATTTGTTCATGTGACAAACAGTATAACAGAGCTTTAATGCATAATATTGAAACAAATATCATGGTAACTGAAGAGTTATGGGCACCATGTGTGCTCACACTCATATAGCAATAAGTCATGGGTCATCATATGTCAGAGCGTTTATATCACTGTGTGATATGTCTTTTCTCCACCCACACTTTACACTTTCCAATTTATTAATAGTCCCCCCCATGTGTCATGTTCTGTGTTGTCTGATTCATTTACGTGTATCTTCTGCCCGTACTCCCACCTCTGATGCTCGCCTTCAGGATTTCTCGAGGGCTGCACCGTTCCTGTGGAACTCGCTTCCCTCCTCCGTTAGAAGCTCACCCAGTCTCCACTCCTTCAAAAAATCATTAAAAACCCACTTCTTCATAAAAGCGTATCAATTAAACTGTTAATAGCTCCCGACTGATTCCTCTTCTGCAACTGTCACTAGTCCAATACTATCCTTACCTTTGTGTAATTTTACCCCACTCCCTCTAGCATGTAAGCTCATTGAGCAGGGCCCTCAACCCCTTTGTTCCTGTATGTCCAACTTCTCTGGTTACAACTACACGTCTGTTCGTCCACCCATTGTAAAGCGCTGCGGAATTTGATGGCACTAAATAAATATCATAATAATAATAATAATAATAATTTACATAATTACCAAATAAAAGCTCAAGGGATCTGAAACATTACAGGATTATTAAAGCATCACTATGATACAATTTACATTAAAAACACAACACACAAAAGGGAACAAAGACAGACATGTCTCTGATTATATTATACGTAATAAGCAAATGTGAAACAGAGGTTTAATCACTGAACTGGGAGTTAAGGAAAATGGACAAGAGAATTGCCAAAAAGAGTTTGACAAAGTTTCTAAGTTTGTCCTAAAGTATGCAATTCATTGTTTCAATTCTTCACAATTCATTGTCTAGTGAGCAAACCACAAAGCAAATGTATGTTTGTACCAATCATTGTCGTTTAAATGGATTCCTTGTAAAGAGGACTTATATTGATAAAACAAGATGTTTTAACTTTTCAAGTTTACCCAACGCATTTACAGTTTCTCCTCCCCCCCCTTAAATGAAAAAAATAAAATAAAGAAGAAAGAAAACATATTGTCCCATTGTAAAAAGGGGTTAAATTTTACTGTGCTATCTAAATCACATTTATTTTTCTGCCAAGTGAGATTAAAGGAAGAAAGTTTGGCCAGAGATCCAGGTTTTGCTGAAAGCCATTGTGTAGTCTTGTTAAGTGTGTATCTTTACTGTCCGGCTTGCCATATAAAACCTGTCTGCTCCATTTTATACGGCTACTGTACAGAGTGCTGATCACATTAACAAATACAATGTATGTATTAGTGTTCCATGTTATGGTTCTAAGGTGTCGGTCTTCCCAATAGTGGAAGCCACACTCCTTCCGTTGACCTGTTCCAACTTGATTTACATGACGGCATAAGCTCTAAATTTACCACCCTGCACTTTTAACTTGCTGCAGCCGTAAAATGGATGTTTTTCTGTCAGACCGTGAAAGTGGCGTTTTAATTGGCTTTTCAGGTACCAAGCAAGGCGCTAGTTTTGTGGTTGGGGAGCTGTTCCTTATTAAAACTTGGTTGACTCTCCTTGTTAAGTTTATCTGGCTGGCTGTCTGGGTAGAGTCATTATTTTTTCAGCTAAATTTTAACAAACTCTGGGTTGTGCATCATTTATTTTCTATACTGATTTTATATATCACTGTGATATATATGAAAAATACACCCCCAAAATGAACAGTTACCCAATTATGTATCATTGACAGCTCTTAGTATGGATTTAGTAGTATATATACACATTTCATATATGTATATATATATATATATATATATATATATATAAATAAACAAAGAAAATTGAACCTTGAGAAAGACCCGCAGGGGTCGAAACATCGTTTTTTGGTTGCTGAATGCACATTATTTAAATAAATCACAATATTTCTCACAAAGTCCTGCGAGTGCATCCTGGATTTTTCTTTGTTTATATATTGGACGCACTGTGGATGGCACCCAGGCAGGTATACTTAGAATTCTGTTAAGGAGAGTGCCAAGCTATCTTATTGTTATATATGTATATATATATATATATATATATATATATATATATATATATATATATATATATATATTATATATATATATATATATATATATACATACATACATACATACATACATACATATACACACATACACACACAAACACATATACACAATTGAGGTAATTCTCTAAATTGGGAATTGTGGAGAATATGAGATGGAATTGCAAATTTCAAAGAAAAAAAATGGAAGGTACATATAGTACCTGATATGTACATTTTACTTGAAAGCTCTAAAGAATTCCAAGTGTAGAGAATAAGTCTCAATTTCAAACTGTTTTAAAAAATATTGTCCCTTTACAATAATCTAAATAATAATAATGCCTGTGGTCATAGGTTGTGTACCCCAAAGTACTTTAAAAGTTGACCTGGTTTTGTTTTTTTCAACCTGGGGTTGAATGTAAAAGAACCTGTTTCTATTGAGCATTTGTGCTTTGTTCTTGAACTTAGAATGACTCATCGCACGTAAAAAGGCATGAAATACTCCGTAATCTAATTCTCAAAACAAGCGCAGTGTTATTGTATCTACTATACCTGCCTAACCTTCTCTCAGAAATGTGCAGTTCCTAAACAATGGGTTGGATGTCGCCCACCTTTTCAGACCACACACAAAATAAGTAAGGCTAGAACAGAACTGGTTTTCCTTATCACATTTGTGACCAACTTTGACTCAAATAAAACTCAAATTCGCATTTCGGCTACACAAAGAAAAAGTTGTACCATTAAAAACCTATGTGAAATATTCCATAAGATGGATAGATATCCTATGATTTAAAATCCCATTCTGTTTCCTGTTAGGATGAACGAAACCAATATCGTGTCCAACTTCCTGTCCAGTCTTACAACATGTCCATGCTCAGTAAGTTCTCTTCTGAGCATGTGATCAGGAGAATCCTTCTCCTTGCTGATTGTATAACAAAGATATGTTTAGGTTATGTTGCTGAAATGACTACGATAGACCTTTTTTTGTTCAAAAATATGATTTAACGTATCAGTAGCCTGAAAATGGGATAGCTTCAATTTACTTGTGTAAAGTCTGAACAAGGGGCAGGATACAAAAGACCAGATTTAGGGCTAAGGTTTTGCATGTATTAAAGTATATTTGCATTAATTCAATATGAGGGGCGTTAAACGTTATCATGGAGTAGAATGCAGCGTTTGCGATGAATGGAGATCTTTGTTAGTCAAAAGCAAATAAGAGCAACTAGTGCTGCTGTCATTCCAGAACATAAACAGAGGAATCTGAGAGTGTAAACCACTGTAACAAAGTATAAGTATGTCACTTATGGACAGAGCTGGAAGATAAGAAGGTAAAATCAAAAGCAACGTCAGTCCATCTGGAGCAATCAAAGCAAACATTTGTCCTATAGGTGGGAGCCTTATTGAAGAAGTAGGGCCTCAGATAAGCCTTCACTGATCTGAAATGCTTGATGGTTGAATAGGGGTACAAATGCAAATTATGGAAAGTTATTGAAGTTATTCACTTAAATTACTTTCTGTAAATGAATTCTGAAAATGAGGTGAAAATATCTGATTTGGAAAGAAATTCCAATTTGGCTATTTTTGACTATGTTTTTTCCATTTGTAATTCAGAGTTTAGTGAATAACCTTGTCCATTTCGTAGGATGTAAGCCAAAACGGCCAACTGAATAAAAATAAATAAATCTACAAACTGACCTTTTGGGAATTTTTTTCCCTACTTAGCAACTTTGGCTTAACTGTCAGCTATCATCACAACTCATCTGTCACTTAAGTTAACCTCAATTCTGAGAAAGTACAGATACACTACGTGCCGATGGGGTATTGAGTTGACCTGCTTTGTCCACATTGGATTTCATGGCTCCTGAGTATCAAAAACAAACTAGGACAACTCTTCAGAGTCCTCCAATGGTGACTTAATGTTTTGGCTCAAATTCCCAGGTGTACAGGAAGCAGATCACACCAAACTATATACACATTATATTTAGGTATATTTTTTACTAAACAGGAAGTGGTGATGAAGATGCAAAAAATAATAATTTTAGGTATAATTAACAGAACTGAAAAAAAAAATCTCAAAAGGAGAATAAATTTTGGCCAAGATTTCACAATTCCTACTTACTGAAAATATAAAGCAGTGAATATCTAAGGTGTGTCTCTGTAAAAATTATGGTTTATTCCTTAATCAGTGAATTATTGTGAACTGGAAATGAAAAAAAATTGCTAAATGTTCTCTAAACTAGCCATATTGGAACATTTCTTCAAATCAGAGGTTATTCTACATTTCACTACTCGATTTTCAATTTACTGCAACTCACTGTAAATTGAAAGAACCCTACACATTCTAGCTAGGTCATAATTAATGTGGAATGTATTCCTTTTAAAAAACTATTTTTTTGCCCTGCTCAAATTATTGGTGCTCAGGCATGATCTGTGAAACTCAACATACTTTGAAATGAAGACTTGCTGAAATAGAGATTTTACCCAACCCAATGCCGGATTGTACTACAAAGGATCGCTAGCTCAATAGCAGATCTCCCCTTGACATGTAAAGAATACATTGATCTATATTTTACAAGTCAGTTGTTAAAGGGACACTCCATACACACACAAAAAAAAAGTCACTATTTAAGAGATATGTCCACAATGACACCATGCATGTATTTAATTATATATTTCTTTGAGGGTATACCATAACAGCTTGCACAAGCTGCAGATGTATTTTTTGTAGCCTTTGTAAGCCCTCCCCTTCTAACCCTGTCCAGACTTTTTGTGGATGTCCAATCAGAGTCTCCCAATGCAGCTCAATAAGAAGTCTGTACAAGGCAGGTGCTCTAGGCAATTGCTGCCTCTTGAGTCTAGCTCCACTGAGCTAACCAAACCAGGAAGTAAAAGGACTGGTTGTCTTTTTGATAGCCTGCAGGTGTAACAAGATTAATAAATAAAAAGTTAACATTTCTATTGAAATCTGCACTTTTTTTAAAAATGAAAAAGGACACACTCTTTACACATAAAGCGCTTTAGAAAGCTACAGTGCTTTAGGTGTTTGGTGCATTCCTTTAACTCAGTACTAGGTAAAAAGGCCCCCTAAGACTTCTGAACTTTGTCAGCTTGCCTGTCCTACCCGATTTACCACATTCAGACTTTTGCTGGTTTGATACTGCAGAGATGAGATAGAGCCAGATGACTGAGATACCAACAGCTGCTCCCCCACTTTCGCCAGCAAACTGCATTAAATTCCCCAGAGTTCCAGCTCGAACGGTTCCCATTGAACAAACTAATAACAGATTTATTTTCTCATTTACTCTGCGCTCAGAGCACCAGGGCAGAGCGGCCTTTGGGAACGACAGAGATGGTTTTGAAACAGAAAAAAAAACTGTTATCCATTAACATCCAATTATCACTTGGTCCATGCCATTAATTATAAATCAGCCCTCTAATTGGGATAATTAGCTTTCTCATGGCTAATGCAGCATAACTGATGCTTTTTGATAGGGTTTAATCACTTCATTTGTTTAGTGGCAGGGGAACAAATGGAATACTCAATGTAATTTCATCACCATCCTCATCAGAATTAAAAGCTCTTTAAGCTGTTAATAAATGTTTGCAAATGCCTTTCTGGAGGATTGGACACATCACAATTGTAACTCAATTACTATAGTTAATATCATTACTTTACACTATAAACTCTCACAAGGAGGGACCTTCACTTGCTTGGTTTGACGTAATGTAGATTGAGTGCCTTATAGTGACCCCGTTATATTTGCTGCATAATTTGTTTTATATTTTAAGAATTTAGAATAATTCACTTCTATATTTCTCATATGCATAATATTTGTTTTTTTTGTTTTTGTTTATTTTGCACAAAGGAACGTTGATGTATAAAATATTGACTTCTTATTTTAATCTGCATCTAAAAAAGATTTATGCATTGCTCATCTGACAGCTGTCCTACATTCCTTTCTTGTGACATAAAACATCTACTACTAAGGTTCCTTAACACTAGCAGACTAGATTCTAACATGGGGAGGACAATTTCTAATCAATGCTTTCACAAAGCTTGGGCACTTGATGTTGATAATTAGAGAAATATTCATTGAATTTTGATTTGCAATTAATCCAAATCTTATTGACAAAATGTAGGCAAAAAGTTGACGAAACAGGGAAATTTCCAATTTGGCTATAATCACATTTAATCTATTTTAGCCTGAGTTTTGTAATTCATCAAATTCTTTACAATTTGGGATTTTAATGAAAAATCTTAATATTTTCTTTATAATCTTAAAGGGGAGTTTATAGCATGGAGCAAAATATTGAAAATTGCTATACATATGCATGGCAAGACAATTAGGTTGAACCACGTTTCCCCAAAATATAAACATTTTCAGGATTCCTGAATTTCAGCTGAATGTAAGCTTGGCTCAGCAGAATTTTGAAACCGAAATTCCGATTTGGGAACCAAAACTGAAGGACAAAAAGGGTGCAAAAACGCTCCAATTAGCATGCTGCCAAATACATAAATAAAAATTAAAATACTATACAAATATATTTCACAGAATACCTATAGGGGCATTTTCCCAACATTTGGTTCACAGACAAACTTTTTTTTTTCCCCTTCTGTTGCTTACTGCTCAGCTGATCTGTGAATAAAACATTTAGCAAGTGACTCCTAGCCAATCAATCATGTTTATTCCCCTAATCAGCCATCTCTCTCTTTTACCACAGGTGGATTCTTCATCAAACATGCTCAGCATAACGCATTTTGGGTACATTTCAACTCAGAGTTCATAACTTCGACCGATCACTCAATCAGCCCAAAATTAATCTACAAGTCTAAAAATCAAATACAAAAAGAAAAGTCCTGCGCTCACTACCATCACTACTGGGCCGGCAGCAATGACTACAGTACACATCAGCCCCAATATATAGTAAAAACCAAAGAAAAGAAAAAGTTACCTGCGCTCTGTCCTTAATCCCTATGTATATTTAGACAAATGGAGGTCATTTAGTTGCTCCAATGGCCATTGGAGGGAATGCCCTCCTGCCAAGTCTAAAAATCACCTACAACCTTTTTATTTTTATTATTATTTATTCTTATTCTTATTTTTATTTATTTATTTATTTTTAAATCAGATGATGTTCAGTTTTCCTTTAAATTTGTATGAGAGATTTAGCAAATTACATCACAATTAAATTCAGTTCTGGCACAGCCAGGGCACACAATGCAAATGAAGATGAGATATAGAAACATTGTTTCCTTTCTCCTCCTCTCTGTAAGATCTCTCTGTACTGACTGTCAGTTGCGAAGGACATAGCTTACAACAATGACTGACGAGGAGCTATGATGGAGGTGACAAATTGCAGGATAAAGAGATATTGATTTTGACTCTTCATTTTCATACCCCACAAACACATTCGTTAGCTATAGGGATAAGTAAACATAATATTATCTCATGCCCCCTCTTACATTTATCGTGAACGGTTTTCTAAACTAGGCATTATGCAGTTTAAGGAGCAAATAAAGAGAGCTGTTCAATACAGTATTGTATAGGTATTTGTTATTTCACCGTAATCACCTCTAGGCAGTTTGTAGACAGGACGTGCTTAGATAAGACTAGAATAATGTAGACGTAGGGTTCTGCTAAGACTAGATGTCCCAAATTGTCTATAGACAACCTTTTTAAGTTCAGAATTAATCCCACCAATGGAAAAATTATTAACTATTACTTCATACTCTCTTAATAGCATCTGATACAACAGTAGATAACAGGTTGTCAAATGTAGCTTAGTGATCATCTGTCAATGATTAATTGATTGATACAACCAGACTTTATTTCTACAGGAGCTATGCGTATATTGCCACGTTAAACCTATTAGGTATTCATGCTCACAAGATACTAACGCAAGGCAAATCCTCAGCTATAGTAGGATGTTTGGAATCGGGTCTGAAAAATCTGCTCTAAATACTGAGTTGTAAACTGGATTTGGAAAATTCATGCTAAGATAGCTGTGTGGTGAGTACAAATCAGCTGTTTTGCCTAAATGTTTCAATTTGCATTTCAATTTGTTCCATTTCTAAGTTTAGCAAATAAACCCCTGTACCTTCCAAAATGCGACAAACTTATAATATATATTTAAATATTTGAAAAATTCAAATTCACATTCTTACTTTAAATAAGCTCTTTATATTGCCATCTGACAGATTTTATTATTTTATGATAACAGTTATATTAAATATAGGAATAGTTTAAAATGCAAGTTTTAACCATGAAAATCCTTATTTTATTAGATGCTTCAAGTAGACCAGCAATAATTTCAAAATAACGATTGGAAAAGGGAAGGTGTATAAATATATTTCTTCTGATTTAAAAAAACTGATTGTTTTTATTCCACACCCTTTAATTTAATATTAAGCCCCGAGTGTATGAATTTACCACCAAATGTTTACACAAGTCATTACTTCAATCTTCCCCTCCCATCTCTTATTTAAACTATTACCATCTGCCTTTGCCCTCCTTTCTGAAATTCAAGCTTAAAACCAGGTACGACATCCATTTCTACATCAGTATATATATTTAAATTTTTTTTGTAGTATTTCATAAAACATCCGGAAGGATTATTTAAAGTGAAATCAGAGTGGATTTCACATTTTAGACCAAAATACATTTGATATATATTAAAAAAAAAAAAAGCGTTTGGAAAAACAAAAAAACTGAATGAAAAAATATAAAAAATAAATTAATAATAATGAGCTGTATTTTCATTTTGGCTGTACTGGCCTGCAATTTGAAATTGACTTTAAATTCAAGCCAAATCTCACTTTAGTGATTAACCGTGATACCGTATGTCAATGTGTTTGCTACCCTGTTTTCATGTATAGTGATTTACAAATTGTTACTTAACAAAAAGACAAATGATCTTTTTAAAGAAGAATTATCTGCGTTACAATGTCACTAGAGTGATCAACTATTTCCTTTCTTAACAGGGAAGCTAAATAAATCAAAATACTGCATTTTCTGTCTCCAATTTAGGAAGGGAAAATAAGTAGGCCTGCCGTGGGTAATATAATGTAACAAAGTAAAAAAAATCAGGAAATATTCGGTAATTTTTAGAATTTTCTGTGTATAAAGAGTTAACCTCATATGGGGTAACACACAGAGGCCACTGAGGTGTAATCTAGAACAAGTTCTAATGAGTAAACAATGTTTGCAGTCAGCATGGTGGGGAATAATCTTCTTATCCAAGTACTGCCCTCAAACTATTCCCTTTATTGTCTAATAATCCATTAATGAGGTTCGCACGGGGGTGGTATGCCTTGAAGACATGATTAGATATGTATTACTGGCATTTACATGGAAAACTTGGCGGGTCAGCCAAGTGGAAACGAAAGGCAATTTACACTAACACAGATCCTGCGGACAAGTTGTGCATCCATGCACGGAGTGAGGTTGTAGGGGGTAGGGTACATGTAGGTTGTAATGGGAGGGTAGAAAGGCAGTTGTCCATTTGCAATCAGGTTGTGTTTTTAGTGTAAATGCCTGTTTTATTGTAAGAGTATATGACAGATTGGTATTGGGAGTGGAAAAACTAACAAAGTGACCCAGTCTTCAGTTTTTGACGGGTACAGTCAATCATTCTAAGTGTATTTAAATAGTTAGGGGTATATCACTAAACTGTGACTTACAGCTGACTTGTAAGGTTTTGGCGGATACAATCACATGTTAAATATAATGTACAAATTAACCAAACTGTTTGTTGATTAAAGTTTGTTTTGGGCCAGAATTTTGCAGTGTTTGTTAGTTGGCTACAACGCACTGTTTAGTAAGGAAACTCCTGCTTTATGTTTCTTTAATTGTTTGTTTTTTCTTTTTAAAGTTGCAGGCTTGGTGAGTTCGTTATACCCCTATTAGACATCTAAATGGTTCACCATCAACATGAAAATATGCAAAGTGTGCGCAATGGGCGTGTCAGGTACACACCCAAATACAGAGTTTGGGTTAAATTGTTGTGATTTTGGGGGTGGGAGAGATGGGAAAAAACAAATCAAATCTGTGAGCTTTGAAGTTGCTGTTTAGTGGATGAGTGAGTGTAGTGGATCTTGTGTATTATGCATTTATATCATGACTATCCCTGTATACAAATGGGTATTTTTACATCCTTTTTTAAATAATTGAGAACATCTATGAAAATATCCCAAATAATAATTCTGGTATCACTAACCTCCCAACACACTTCTTACCTTAAGTTGCGATGAAATAGCTCATAGACTCAATGTCCATTTAAAATAAGTAAAACTGTTTGGTTAATAGACCTGTTTGTGCTCTGCAATTCCTACCAAAATGCGGTTTCATCTGGAGACATCTTCACTTGGTTCTCCCTAATTTACATAAAGCAGTACTTTTTTTTATTTTGTACTGGGTAAATAGCAATTTATTTATTTTTTTAGCTTTTTTGGGGGGGGGACATAATCCCAGGATTATCAAATAAAATAACCAGCAAAGGATGTATCACACTCTAACATAAAGACACATAGCAGGGAACCCCTAACATTATGGATGAAATAGTAAAAAATAGTAAAAAATAGAGCTGCAAAGTACCCTCCATATAGGGGGGTCACATACAATTGGGTCTATTTACTAAACACTGAATTGTAGAAAATTGAAAATCAGACTGCAACATTCAGGGGAAAAGCACCAACTGCAGGTAGGCAGTCACAAATACTGCCCAAGTAGTTCTTAAAACAGAGCACAACCTAATTATTACCTTACTGGGCAAACTGTGAGTCAACCAGAGGCCCTCGCATTTACAATATTGTGTTTATTAAACAGAGAAATAAAAGAGATTTGAACAAGAGAAATGCAGATGTTAGGTCTAAATAGCCAAGTTGAGAAAATAGCCGAATGGAAGATTTTTTTCAAATATCTATGTTGATCTAAAATCTGCAGTTCTTCCCAATTCCCAATTTTGTGAATAAAGTGATGAATGTCTCGGTGAGACTGAAAATGATTTAAGAGAAAAATAAGAAAAAAATATTAAATCTTAATGTGACAAGCATCCTTTTATATAGCATTGTAACCTTGACATACAGTTTGTTTTTTCCTGAATTGTTGCAGAAAATAATTCCCAACAATGACAGACCCGCCTGCCCTGTCATCTCTTAGAGACAAGTGACATAAACACCCTCAGGAAAGTGCAACTACTTTTTAGTAAATACCTCCCCCGTTATTTTGAATAAAGCAGAATCATAAAAATGTTAATAAATTTAAAACCTTGGACCTTCACCTCTTCATAATTCTAGGAAAAATTGAGGAATTGCAGTATTTTATCCACTTATTTTCCACAAAGAACAGGCATCGGACCAGTGATTTTCTATTGGCTATTCAGTGCTCTGTGACATCAGTATTATTTTATTTATTTTTAAATCCTCAGCATATTCCGGAACCAACTTAAGACTCCAGGGAAAAGGTCAAGTTGACCATCCAATACATGGGTTAAAAAAAAATAATAATAATAATAATAATAATGTCTGTAGTTATCAAGTTAAATCACTAGACTGCAAAGCATGGAGAAACGAGAAGGGAATTGGAAATCTTATGCAAAAATATCTAAACTGGAGAAATTCACTGATTCAGATATAACATTCGATCATCTACTTTATCCTAAGTTTGACATTTTTTTACCATCACTCTGCAATGTATGATTTTGTGACTTAACTCATTAGGAGTTAACTACCATGAAAAACAGTAGTTTAAAAAAATCAAGAAATGACTTTTTCCTCAAATAAATACACGTATGTGTATGTATATTTTCCAGACTCGGATCTGTTGGCTTAGATTTTTCAATGTGACATAAATTTACTATTTAGCGATTCAAAATTGTAATTTAATAAAGTGCACATAAAACACAATTAAAAGTACTTAATGTTTGATGGACAGACAGACAAACATGCAAGATATTAAGTCACTGGCTCTTGCTCCTTTGAAGACCAGTCTCCAATGTACTTCTTCAATATACATATAGCAACTATAGTTCTAACACATTCCAATTCTCAAAGCAATTGTGAACTATTTCAGTTTTGGAGTTTAGAGTAAAATGTCTCTATCTCGCCGGGTCCCTAAAAAAAAGAAAAACATGTTTTGGGCCTAGTCATTAAGTAATGAGTTGTTGTAAGACTGAATATGCAAGGCACAGCCTAAAATAAGTCAATTGAATTTTTTCGTTTCCAGTTTTTTCGGCCTAGATATACAAGTCGCTGGTTGTTTCTATACACTTGCACTGTACGCTATTCACTCAATGCTGATGACATTTGGAAGAAAAGTTGTCGAAATAAAGACAGTTTAGGGTAGATTGTGTGGACCTGGTAACCAATAATTTTGATATTTTGGAAGGGAAATAATTTCCTCTAGAGCAGTGATGGTTAACCTTGACACCATAAATTGTTTCTGGACGACATTTCCTTTGATGCTCAGCTAGATTTTAGACTCTAAAAGCTAGCTGAGCATCCTGGGAAATGTAGTCCAGAAACAATTTATGGTGTCAAGGTTAACCATCACTGCTCTAGATCGTAAGCTCGTTTGAGCATGGCCCTCATCTACCTACTGTGTCACTGTGTTTTCCCTCATCAATTGTAAATCTCCTCCTCTTTCATAATATTGTAAAGTGCTGCAGAATTAGTTGGCGCTATATAAATACCAATAATAATAATAATAATTATAATATAATTCTCTCCAAGTGGAAATCATGACACATATTGAATGATTTATTGAGTGAAAGTCTGAGACCAACTATGCAACATTAAGACTGCCAGTGATAATACCCAAAGTATATAAGTCGGAAAAAAAAAATGTCACCACAATCCAGCACTGCGGAATGTGTTGGCGATATAGAAGTAAAAGTATAATAATAATAATAATAATAATAATAATAATAATTCAGCCATTAAGTGAATAACGCCCTTGGTTATATGTGGAAGCTCAGAAAATGTGCCCACATTACAGGAATCACATGCACAGAGGAATTCTGGACCAAAGTTTGAAAATTGGAGCAATCACTTTGGGGACCAATGTTCGACTTATATAGTATCACCACTCAATATATCCCTTTATGTAAAACCCATTTAGCTTGCTGCAGTCAATTATAAAGTGACATCAAGTGCAATGCAAAGTGCTGTGCAATTAAACACTACATTAGAATTAGTAGGACATTTGTTACATGATCTGACCTGTTTATGACAAGCATTCTGAAGACATCACTAATGATTTGATTTTATGTCCTGTTCAGTTTAACTCATATGGCCAGTTCATTCTGCACAGCTTTGGACCTGATTTTGGCAGCAGATGGAATAAGGCAGTTCCTTATCTCCCTGTCCTTCAAGCAGTCCCCTGGCCATAACTACACCCTCTGTCCTGGCCCCATGTCCTATACTGCACCCCCATAGCCTGAAGGCACTGCTGCTGTGATGTATAGGATGCTAAGCTATAAGATATGCATGCTGATCCCATTCTGTCCTGCATCTAATAGAGGTGAAAATGGGTTTAACAGCAGACAATGATATTAATTTATCATTATCCCTGACACCATTACAAAGTGTCTTCTTTTCATTCGATTATAAAACAGGAACAAAAATTAAGTAGCAGCCTAACAGTGTGAAAATCGTTCACAATACTAATCAGCAAATTAAGTAATAATTAGACACAAATCAGACACTAATTAAAAGAGCTTGTGTAATTTAATCCTGCCACTTCTTTATTTGACTACAAGAGCGGTGAACTATTTATCCTTCCATCTCTCAAAGGGTTAAGCATGGTTTAACTATATATATATATATTGTATAACTCCTGCCTCGGATGGGTTAAGAACAATTAGACAGCTTTATCAGGAAAAAAATATATATATATATATAAAAAAAATGGTATACTATAAACTTGTCTTAAAATTGCATAATCTTTTTTATAGTTTCGATATACATTACATACAGTATAAAATGTGTATCCCATATTCGATAATATTTTTACTGAATGTTATTTTGTTATTAAGGAAATATGGCAAAAGTTACATTTGTGGATTGAACGTTCTAATCGGTGAAATTTAGCTTTCAACTGGACTTTGAAAACATGTTTGACCAAATCTTCGCCCCCCTCTAATCTCATACCCTGAACCCATTCTAAGCCCCCTTGTTACATCTCACGGTATCTTATTAAAACACCATTATAGAAATTAAATTGGATTTACAATCTAAGTCTTTGTTTGGCATAACTGAAAAGATTACTGTTGGTAAATTCACCCCAGGCAAGAAATAGATTTTATGGTGACAAAGGAATATTAAACAGGACATTTGGGGGTCTGTGGCAGAGCAACAACTACCGAGAAATCTTTTAGCTTCAGAGATCCAATCTGTCAATATTTATATTTCACAACCCTGCTGGCTTCCTGGTCATCAAGGGTTAAACAGTCAGACATATTGATAAAATGACATCTGTTACTCCCAAACTCCAAAGAAAATGTTGCATTTCATTAACTGTCCAACTACTAACTAGACTGGAGTATCCTGGACGGACACTAAACGAACAGTAACAATGTAAATCCCATGAATCTTTAGAGTTCATTTGTTTATTTATATTCAGAATAACTACAGCTTGTCAATGATATCCAAACAATAACACAGAAACGGACACATAGTTTATATAACGTTCTCTTGTGTTATACAAATTACTGCTTAGTAAAAAAAAAAAAAGTTTAACAAGTAACCATCGCACAGTAATAAATAGCAATATATAATTATAATACAATAAATTCTACCCAGTTTAGCGCATTTCCATATTTATATAATTCTAACTACACACTATACATGTAGAAATTATAATCAGATGTTTGGTCAACATTAACAAATATTGATCTGATTTAACAATCATATCAGAATTCAATATTCGTGTTTTTCAGTAAATATGGTCATATCAAATATAAACCTGTAATGCAAAAATAAAAATAAATAAATACATACCTGGAGGGAGATGGTGGGGGGTTATTTACTAAACAGCGACTTGTACAGATCTGACAATCGATTTTGCTAAGGTCAGGCCAGTTTCAGATTCACTAGAGATGAATTTTGTTTAAAGGCTCTAATTATTTTTGGCTAAATTTTGCGAATGCATATCCCACATGTTTACTGTGAGCAAACTCTCCTTAGCAAAACTTCAAAACTACATTTACAGATTCTCAGCCAAACTTATAAACCGACTGCTCGCCGTGGAGAATGTCATATTAGAATTATTTCTGGGGTATTATGGTTTGCCATCACTGTCTAGGAAAACACAATAATTGACATTTTTTGGAGGACTGAAAGTGCAATAATCAAATAGCAAGATGACATACATACCTTTCTGTTGTTCTGGTAGATGGGTTGATTTGGAGAGAAAATGCCCTTTTTGTGGTTTAATTTCAGATGGAGGTCAATATAAGCTGCACTCTGACAGTCTCTGCAGTCTATGATATGACCTGCTGAGTCCTTGCTGGCTGGTCCCTAGTCCTGTGGCTGAGATGCACCATCACATTCTGTGAAAGTCCCCAACTTGCCCCAGGTTTAGTCAATCTGCCATGTAGTGGGGGCTGGACTGATGAAGGACTTTTAACAGAGCCTGCAAGGATTCAGGAACAGCCCTGTAAGATTCTTACTGGTCCTCACAGCTGTCACTCAAAATACTTTTTTTTGTGTGTGTGTGTGTGTTAACTTGTTACCAGTCATTTACTCAAACCCAGTCAGGTGTGAAAGTATAATTAAATCATTCAAAGATAATGGAAATCTACTTGAACACTGAGTTGCTGTAAGCAGCCTGCTCGCTGGTTTGTGACTGATGATAGATAGATAAATATGAAGTTTAATGCTGTTTGCTTTTCATGGTAAAAAGTGGGCAACTATTAAACTGCAGTCTGTCAGGAGCACCCCACATTCTGATCTGCTGTCAAAAGCATCCTGGCACTGGGCAAACACCCAGAACCCCTACAACCTGTAAATAAACAGAAAGGGCATGGATTTAGCTCTCACTAACACCATATTATGTGCTCATTTCACACCAACACATGTTTACACAATTCTTTAAATACTCTCTTTGTATCTTTCCCTGTATCTCTGTCTCTCTGTCTGTCTTTTATTCCATAGCTGAACACATGCTATATCCAGTTTTATATATCTCTAAGAAAATGATCATCTTTTTTAGGGACTGTGGCATTTTTAAAAGACATATTTAAAATGTTTTATGTAGTGTGTATGGTATCCAATCCAGATTGCTTGTTAGGTTTCTTCAGTTGTGAATTCTGAATGTGCAGATCAGTTATACAAGGTTTGTGTCCCCTGACTTTTTGGGTCACTAATAAGAGAGGATTCCTTACTGTTACTAGGGGCGTCTTAGAGGACACGTGTGTGTTTTCAAGCATTCGTTTTGTCTTTCTTAAATTACAATTGTTTTATTGAATAACCCTTTTATGCATTGAAAGTATTCTATCAATGTTCACAGAAAGGACACACACACATACACCCACACCCACACACATGCATACAGTGTGAGAGAAAGGGGGAAGGAGAATAAATCAGAAAGGTGGGAAAACAGAAAGACCTAGCAGGTGAGATAGAAGAGATATTTAAATACTTACACATATTTCCCATATTTTCCCAGCATGTTTCAGTTCCATTACTCTAACACACAGCAATCTAATGTCTTTTAATGTACTGAGCACCTACCCACCGTGGGATCTAGGGCACAGGGACTGAGCAGGTCCCAGGTCTAGTCAGTAATGGACCCCCAGTCCCTCCACCAGTCCCTTCTCCCCTGCAGTCAGGTTAGAGATGGGGATGGGAGATTTTTATTTGCTTTTCAATCTTTGTTTGTCATGCTTGTTTTGCAGACAGAGCAGTTTAAACCTTTAGTGGGATTTGCAGCCATGCCAGGGCCCTGTGCAGAATATATCCCAGGCAGGCTAGGAGGATTTATACAGCCAGGGGATAGACATGACGCCAGTTCAGACTCTAACACCCTGTCTTATAATGACTGCCTCTAAGAGGATTAAAATGATAATACCCCTTCTCTTCTTCAAGGTTTTTTTCCCCCTTTTTCTCTCTCTCTCTCTTTTTTTTTAAAGAAAAGATTTCTTCTCCTGGAGCAAAGCCGTTTAGGCAGGAATTAAGAACATGAAAACCTACCTTTTAATTTAATCCGAAATATTTGGGTATGAATTCTGACTATAAAGACTTGTGAAATCTCAAACCGGTTTATTTCAGGGTAGTTGAATTTTAAAAGAAAATGACTCCTGAGCTGCAAATCTGTTCGAATATAGAGCAGCACAGAGGATCTTATGGATGGGGGCAAATAAACAGACAAAAAACTTCTCTTAAACAGAGATTCAACTCCTTAGGTTAACCCTAATTCAGAATTGTCTTATTGAAAATCAGATAAGAAAATGTTTAATTGATCTATGATAAAAAATATTAGAAAACGTGTATGTACATTATATCTAATTAAATCAATAGATGAGAAATATATACATTGTGTACAGCATCCAATAATGTGTATATTATATGATAAAATAATATAGAGCAGTATATATACATTATATCACATTAGATTAATAGATTAGTAATATATACATTGTGTACAGCATCCAATAAAATATATAATATATGATATGATAAAATAATATAGAACTGATATGTACATTATATCACGTTAGATTAATAGATTATTAATATATACATTGTGTACAGCATCCAATAAAATATATAATATATGATATGATAAAATAATATAGAACTGATATGTACATTATATCACATTAGATTAATAGATTATTAATATATACATTGTGTACAGCATCCAATAATGTATATAATATATTATATGATAAAATAATATAGAACGTGTATATACATTATATCAAACTAAATCAATAGATTAAAAATATATACATTGTGTACAGCATCCAATAATGTGTATATTATATGATAAAATAACAATAAACGTATATACATTATATTACATTAGATTAATAGATTAGTAGTATATACATTGTGTACAGCATCCAATAATGTGTATATTATATGATAAAATAACAATAAACGTATATACATTATATTACATTAGATTAATAGATTAGTAGTATATACATTGTGTACAGCATCCAATAATGTGTATATTATATGATAAAATAACAATAAACGTATATACATTATATTACATTAGATTAATAGATTAGTAATATATACATTGTGTATATCATAAATATTGTATATAATAACTATTATGTGATAAAATAATATAATATAGAACATGTATATACATCATATCACATTACATCAATAGATTAAAAATATATACATTGTGTACAGCATCCAATAATGTGTTTTATATATTATATGATACATTAATATAGACCGTATATATACACATTATATCACATTAGATTAATAATATATACATTGTATACAACATTCAATAATGTATACAATTACTATATGATACAATAATTATATTTAAATGATAAAAACATATGCAGTGCATCACATCATTCGATTCCTAATATATTATATACATTATACCTTTAGATTGTACGCTCATCGGATCATATTGGTCTGATTATATTGATCTGTCTGTTCCCCAGTTGTACAGCGCTGCGGAATATGTTGGCGCTTTAGAAACGCCAGCAATAAATAAATAAATATACAGCATTCAACATTATATATAGATTTATTATTATTTAAAAAAAAAAAAACAACCTCAATATTCGAAAATAAACACTTCAAAACTAAACTACAAAACTTCAAAATTCGATGACATTTTAGTTTTGTATTTTCCCATTGTAGAATTAAATATGTTCCCTGCTCTATAAACACGTGTAAACCCATCTATAAGAAAAGTCTTATTCACTAAACAGCGAGTCGTGTGGAGTTGAAAATCGCCCCTTTATTAATCTAGTTTGATAGAGCCGTGTTATGGAGATTTTAGATTCATCTCGAATTATTTTAATACATTTGGCGAGTCGGTTCCTAACTCTCAAGGACTGGTCATTGAATTCCAATTCTATTTACACAGGACACTCAATTGTTTATTTTTTGTTACAATTTGAATTGTTTGCAAAATATTTACACAAAAAAAGTATCAAATTCATTTTTGACCGTTATTAGAAATCTACAAATGATCAAATTATTCGGTATGTATCCTTGCTGTGTCACTGCCCTGTCAGGTATTTAGATATATTTAAGGACAGGCAGAGAGCACTGCTGCGCTGGAATTCAATATATATATAAAATTCTAAGGTATACAGCTGTGGATGCATTGTATTTCAGCTGAATTATACAGATAAGGACTGCACATGGCTGATATCCCCAAAATGTACCTTGTACAGGCAAAGAGAACACACAGCTGTTAAATATATATTATTAAAAACGATATGTTTTATGTGAATTTCATAATTTCCTTAAATTCAATTTTTTCCCTTTCTCCCAAAAGATAGTTAAAAATGAACAGCTTGGAATTCTAAGTCTCTTGTTCAAATATAAATTAGCGGTAAAACGAATGCTTAATTAAAAAGCTGAAGATGTCACAAATAAGGAACAGTTTGCAGGCACTAATAATTAATCAGACAAGATGGTATGTTTTACATTAATTATTCTATTCATAAACATCTTATGGTTTTGTCATTATTTACATAAAATGATCTATCTTACAGTCTATCTATCCAGTCTATCTATCTATCTATCTATCTATCTATCTATCTATCTATCTATCTATCCACCATCCCTCTATCTATCTATCTATCTATCTATCTATCTATCTATCTATCTATCTATCTATCTATCTATCTATCTATCTATCTATCTATCTATCTATCTACCATCCCTCTATCTATCTATCTAGTCAGTCTATCTATCTATCTATCTATCTATCTATCTATCTATCTATCTATCTATCTATCTATCTATCCATCCATCCATCCATCCATCCATCCATCCATCCATCCATCCATCCATCTATCTATCTATCTATCTATCTATCTATCTATCTATCTATCTATCTATCTATCTATCTATCTAGTCAGTCTATCTATCTATCTATCTATCTATCTATCTATCTATCTATCTATCTATCTATCTATCTATCTATCTATCTATCTATCTATCTATCTATCTATCTATCTATCTATCTATATATCTATCTATCTATATCTATCTATCTATCTATCTATCTATCTATCTATCTATCTATCTATCTATCTATCTATCTATCTATCTATCTATCTATCTATCTATCTATCTATCTATATATCTATCTATCTATCCAGTCTATTGAGCTATGTGTGACTATAGGGGTATGAGGAAGGGGTATTATAACACCACTAGTCCATTTTCTACCCACTTTAGATTTCTAATAGGATAGGCAATTTCTTTAACAAAAAACAATGTGTTAAAATAACTATTTTGCTTAACCAATTCCTGTCTACCTTGTTTGGGAATAGCAGAGGCTTTAAACTGCCCTTATTGTCCACTGTTTCAACTGCCTTGGGTGAGAATGAAAAAGGGATTAACTTGTGAACTTCT